CTATTTAAATTTATTGCAATAGATACTTTACGCCTTCGTTTATAAATGCTAAAAGAAAACGCCACTTCAGTTTCTTTAGATTCAAGAATGATAAATTTTAGTTATCGACCTGGATAAACAATGCTACCGTGCATTGTTTCTACTTTTATACTTTATACTGTTATAATAAATAAAACACGGAAATATTGTTTTTCAAATTGACTAAATTTTAAGCGACTTCCAAAAGGTTCTCAGTTTTACTTCAAAAGAAGAGAAGATTTTGTGTTTGACTGTATATATATATATTTTTGTGGTTACGTTACGCGATTACGTCGCCAGTTCTGAATTATTTTTACAATCAATACGTTTTATTCTGTTTTCGGTCCCATATTAATGTTGTACCGTTTAAAGATGCCGTCTTTCGTTATTCATCATATCATTTCCTAATTGTCCACTGCTGGACATGAACCTCTCCCTTGGGGGATTTTTGCCAGTGGTTGCCACGCTTAGTAGGCGTATTGGCAACCGCAGTTGGGCTTTGGAGATGTTTTAAGAGGGACGCTGCTACCTATCTCGCCGTCCCTTAGTCGCCTCTTACGACATCTATGGGAAAGAAAAAGGGCCTATTCTGTGTTTTGGAAATATATGTTCATATTTTAACTATGCCTATATATACCCATGTATAACGGGCATTTTTAAACTTATGTCTGTCCATTCCGTCAATTGTTTCCATTCCATCCGGAAGTCTTCTTCATGGCGAGCACAGTGCTTTACGTCGCACATCTCCTCTCAATATAAAGACACCGGGGGGAAAGTGATTGTTAGTAATAGGGTCTAACTGACTCATTGCAAACAACATCAGGTCGACCTCCATGTGGTTCCCCCTGGAAATCATCGTGGTTAATTCTAGTGGAATTCGTCACGATGGGCTGACTGACCTGCTTTCATCCTCACTTATCACTTTTTACTGGTGCCCCGCCAGCGTATACCGATAGCGCAAATGGGGATACCATTCCATTATATATATATTATATATATATATATATATATATATATATATATATATATATATATATATATATATACTGTTGCGAAGCAGACTATATATTTCTGTATACACTATTTCTTGTTCTAAATACAGTGTAATGTAGCTGTGTATATACAAAATATCTGTTTGTTGGCGTGTGTGTTTACAATTGAAGTAGTATTTGTGGAGCAAAATATACGTGTTTGTTTATAAGGAAGCTCTCCCAAAAGAACAAAGTCTAGATCTAGCATCATTGGTATGCTTAGCGTGGCATAAACTGTCTTAGTGTGGTGTGAATACAGGACGTCGTTTTCTAGTCTCATAAAAATCTTGCCTTTTCCGCAATGCGTCTCGTCTCTATTAACTTCTTAAATATTTCTCTGCGGCTATTGTGTGAGGATCATTTATGATATAAATAATTTAATGACTTCAAATGATTTGTTTTTATGTTGGAATAATCTGCCGTATTGGAAGTAGTACTGTCAAACTTACACGAGCGAAGTAAACTGCTCAACTACACTTGAAGTACAATTATGTGAGTTGTGAGCATGGATATAAGGCTGCTTTTCGGGTAACCTTGAAAAACAAATGAAAGCAAAACTTTTCTTGCTTTTATTACTAATTTTTTTTTATACCACTGCTGTGGCAAACAAGCATTCGGCCCACCTGATGGTAAGCGCTTATCGTAGCCTATGAACACCTGCAATACCAGAGGTATTACGCGCGCGTTGCCGACCCTGAAGAAACCTCTTTACCCTCCTTTTGAAGAACCCCATGCTGTAGTCTCTTGGGAAAACCTCGGAGGGAATTTCTAAGTAGGTACCTCTAATGAAAACGAATTGAACAAGATGTTTGATAAATGATAAACTTTAGCGTAGAACGTGTCACAAGTTTTCCATTTGCACAGCGATTAATAAGCGAACAAACTTAGCCAGATTGACCGGTTCGCTAGTTACACAGTAATCGAAGGACAAACTGACTGACAGCGTACGGTATTTTAGTATTTATCGCTATAGATCTACTGTTCAGATTAATTACATATGCCGGCCGCCGGCTCTCCACTGCCCGTACTGCCTACTCACCTACTGTTGTATTTACCTACCTATCTCATCAGTAAGCATTTCAAAACACGCCCACCCAATTTATACCCTACACAAATACAATTAAAATGCGTTCTCCATTGACAGGTGTCTTCAATATGAACAAGATATTTACGTGTAGGGCATCCGTGTATTGAAATATGGACTCTCCTATTTGGAACATTTGGTATCATTAAATTTGCACTTGATAAAGTTTAAGTTACGGAACAAATTAACTAATGATTTCTAATGAAACAATTATGTAAATTAAACTTTATGTTCATCGCGACAGAGTCTTTTTTTCTATATAATCGTAGGGTTAATATGACATAATGCCTTCAAAAGAATTTTCAGTCACGCCACTACATATTTATGCTGTAAGTCTTATATCGTAGAAAGGTTAGATGTGACATGTGTGGCTAATGTGAAAATATTTCTTAAGATTTAAAGATAAGGTTTGTTTCTGCCTATCGCGTGAAATTGTGTGTACATATACATCGAGAGATTTTATACAACAAGTGATATTATTTATTATCTACTTGATGCTAAATGGTCAAGTAATCTCCCGTTGCACCGTTTTTTTTTTCACTTATATCTACGGTGTTTTCCTTAATCGCACGAAATTATCGAAAACTATTTCGCTTTTCGTTTAATTGTTAAACGTGATTACATTATTATTTTAGCTGAAATATTTGATTTGAAATATTTATTACATACATATTGTATGAAGGAGCGCCGAAAGGCTTGATTAAGCAATAAAATAGCCATAAAGATTCGATTGATTTATGTCCCACTCTAAAAAAGTGGCGTGCTTTAAATTCATCGATATGCAGGTGCAGATACGAGCGATTGTTTGAAATTTCTTGCGCAAATCCAGTTAACCGCTTCTGGGAACATCGCACAAGGCGCGCCGATACGTCATAAAGTCATATAGAAAATGGGCAATGGATAATGGTCACATAATTTGTATTCGCGTTGTGATACGGCACCGATGCTGTCGAAAAGCACCGCGGCAACACGTCGCGACGGCACTGGCGCCGAATCGCAATTGACAATTGCACAATTCGCATTCCAAATTTGAAAACGTTAATGGTGTTCGAAATCCGAAATGGCCAATAGCGCGTGCCCGCTTATCCGTAAATGGAATAGATCGCGTTCCGGATTTTAACGACATTACTTAACTTACATTTAGTTGAACCGGTATTTGTTCAGATTCTTCTGTCGCGGGCATCCGACCGCGGTGCGCAGTGCCTCAAATATGGGCTCCGCTTGTTTCAACTTAAATCACTTTCTGCTGATAAAATCTTCAACGGGACCACCTTGAGAACGATGTATCCGATAAAGAAAACATAAACTAGTGCATTTTTCATTATTTTTTATGGCATCCGTCTAGCTAGACTTTATTAATTTGGTTTGGGCAAATTACCTCTAAGGATTATAGGTCTACAAACGAGGTAGACATTACGTGAATGTTTTGAAACCTTATGGAGTCACATCTTGATGTGTTCTAAGAACAGTAACTAGTTTAATTTTTAACGCCTACTGAATTTTAATACTTTCCGTTAGACTGTCATGATTTATTCAGGGAGCTAGACTAGCTCTGCTCGTTCGAAAGTGGTGGATGACTCCAAGGATGAAGTCGTCTTAAATAATTTTAATGCTTCTCTAAATACAGGTCAACTTTTTTATCCATGTTGTGTGAATAGGATTCCAAAATATACATTTACTACTTAGTATATAGGAGAAATTATATTGTAGGATTAACTTGAAAAATAAAAACAATATATTAATTTGTAACTAATACAAACATATGATAACTATAAGTAGTTCCTAATTTAAAAAAAAATAAAAATCCACCTGGTGACTGGGAATTTTTTAATTGAATTACTTGCAACACTGTATAAATGGCGCGTTATGTCTTTATTTAAAAAAAAAAATGTTTGAAATTGAGTCAGCTAAATGTCAATTTGCTTACTAAATATTGATACGTTTTGACACTCGATGCTCTATCTATATAATCTAAGGAATCTTGTCACTTACTTTAAAATCTTAATTTTATTGAATTTTTATTAATGGTGTACATATATACTTCATTAATAAAAATTCGTTTGCTATATCCTCTAATATTACAAACTAAAATATATGTATTTATTTATTTAACTCTTTACTGCATTAGAAACTAAAATAAACAATGATATATACACAATTCAAGTGAAATACATTAGAATAAAGTATAAATTAAAATATATAGATAAAGGTACAAAAGGTATCGCTAGGGCAATCTCTTCCAGACAACGTTTTGTTAAAGGAGAACAAATAGCAGTAATATAATTTAGTTTGTAATATTAGAGAAAATGGGCAAATATGTTAATATATATCTGCCCATTATTACCAGATATTACCAATTTAGATACAGAGAATACATCTTGTACGGTAATTTGATTTTTTCATCAATTCGTAGCAATTTGATGGAGGTTTAATTTTTACATAAATAACTTGAATTGTCATTATACATCATAAAAGTATAGGTTCACCATTTACGTGGCCACCATCGTTCGATTCCAGGGCCAAGATAATTGCGGACGTCGGCGGCTTTAGGGGCCGGGTACCCCAAAATTTGGTGTTTGTTTTAGCGTTTTTCTTTTGTTTCAATACAAGCCTTCGGGTAACGTGGTTGGTGATTACCTGACGAATTGAAAAACGGGTTTCGGTTCGTCTTTTTTGTGTATTTACCAAGAATTTTTATGACATGTACATTAATTTGATCTTATAAAGGGATTCTTTCTATTAGCATTCGTCGATATATATTGCACTCTCTCTTAAAATATTTAACGATAAGCCGCCATATTGATGTTATAAGTTCCTAATGGTTTTTAATTTGAAAATTACAATATACTTTTTTGTTTTGTTTTCAGAAACCCCTCCTCCACCATACAGTCGTTACGCCATGGACGACGTCAAATCTAAAGGTTAGTAAAACTATCTCGATATTTCTAGTTGTATAATTGTGAATAGATGTAATATTCGAAAAAAAAAACAAATTCCATTCGCTTCTACACTACACATAGACAATGCGATATTTTTTAACCAATACCATAAACAATAATTTTTTTTTCTTAAAACATCACTCAATTGTGCTGTATTTAGAAATTTCTAATAATTAGTTATTCTTAAAACACATTTGTCGATTAAGTTTCAAACTCTTAGTATATTATCAAACTTTTTATTCCTACTTTAATACATTCCGATTCAAGAGAACTAAGTTTAAGGTACTTAAATAAAGTTTGTTTTTACTTCGAAAAACTTTCAGTTTTATCTTTCAAAGCTATAACTTTCGCCTCAATCAGTCTTCAACTCAACAATAGATCATAGACTTGATCTTCGCGCGCTGAGGCCCGACTCGGTCCAAAGGGCGGGAAATCGTGGAATTCGACCGTGGCGGCGCCCGACCTTCTTTCTTCCTGGAAATTAGGGATGCCTAGTGCCGTACACCGTGATAGTTTATCGTTAAAATATATTTTTTATATTACAAAGACAAGCATACAGCCCGCCTGATGGTAAACAGTCATTGTAGCCTATCGACGCCTGTAATACTGGAAGTGTTACGTATTTTAACCGTAACAAAATCATGTTTTTTTTGTGATGTTATGAGTAATTACTTGATTGTTATAATATAACGGTAGTGATCAGTTTATTAGTTCGGTGGGGAAAAAAAATAATTAGGAGGAATTTAATTTACTAATTTCATTTTAATTCGTTGTAATTTTTGTTGACTGGCCCTTAGAAAAAGAGGGCAATGTCAGTACATGAAGTACACAGCGATAATATGCAGATTTTCGTGTTTGCGTTCAGAAATAGTTACGTACTCATTGTTATTTAACTTTGGTAAATAAAATATACGTCTCTCTTTTAAATACTGCAAAATACGTAGTTGTAGTACTCAAATACGACAAAACACATCCTTGCAATGCTATACTTTTTTTTATCTTATCAGTATTGTTTATTTTTAAAACTTAGAGCTCTCATTATCTCTATGGACCACACACATACAATACTGCCAAAAAATGATAATGCAATACCAAAAATCAAGTATAAGAAAAAAACTAATATCAATAATTATTTCCGACCAAAAGTTTTGCAGAAATCAGAAACGATATTTCGCATAATTTTTTTTTTTCAAATGTTTTTCAAGTGTGCACATTATTTTTAAGGAAAAATAAGATGAAATTAGTGTCTATTCTTATTTATGTAATTATTTATAAAAATCAACGAAATATATGTTTTTGATGGTATAAATAATATTGTCATATTTATCTATAACTTAATATTAGATAAATCTAATAAAATTAATAAATCTAAGTTTATACAAACTCGAAAATTACATGTTTACATCGTTTCTGCTTTACAAACAGATAATTATTGCGATAACCACGCGCTTGTTCGCAAATAGCGTTATCATTGCTAATTAAATATGTGGAAGAGAGCTGGCCGCGACCGGCGACCGGCGCTCGCGCACTCGACACTCGATAAATATTGACACGTGATTGGTTGACACGATCACTATCTTACATGACTATTATAGAAAAACTACGTTGCAAACCAACCATTGTTTAAGGATATTGCGAATTGTTGTGAAAATACAATTACTATTGCATTCAATAGGATACGATGTTTGCGTTTTCCATTACATATTATTAATTACGGCTCAAAAGTTAATGCTTGATGATAAATTTATAGATATAATCATATTACGATCTACTAATCATATCAGTCGTGTTAAATTTGGAATGTGAGTAAAACAACCGTACTCTTGATATGATATTGATAAATAATTAGAGGGATTTTATGAACAAATTTACTTACATATTAATAACACTCTACATTTAAGATTATAATTTAGATAAAAACTAATAAAAATATCGATACATGGGGCACGCCTTAAATCGACTACCGCGCTGCCCTATAAGAGCTGGTCCCTCAGCTTGCGCGCGCACATTCCTCCGCCGCCATCTTTAAACAACATTATTAATGCTTACGCCGGCACGGCAAACATCACACTGTGTTTTTTCTGCTCCTCAATGCAACGGCACCATGCTGTGGGCACAAAATATATTTGTTTTTAATATTCACCCTTGCGGTACGTTTCCTTTCTGTGATGTAGACCTCCTTAATTTTATTGGCTTATTTATTATTATTTTTTTTTTCTAACAGAATTATTAATCTGATCCTAATTAGTGAATAAAGTATAAATTACGTAAGTAGGTTACTTATTTTGTTTTTGTTTTTTTATTTTTTTTATACGAAACATTAAATTGTTTGATTTATTTGTGTAATCTAAGTTGTTTAAAAAGTAACATTTAATTATTAAAACTTTTAGAAATTACCAATTTAAGGAATTGTCACTGGCAGTGTTCATAAATATAAAACGAGATGAATTCATAGTTAGGTAATAGGTATTATTAGAAAGCAAGAGAGGATCAAAGATAAGGCCGGGGAGAGATAACAGACGTTAAACAACTTGCCAATACCGCCTGCACTTGTATAGTCCAGATTACGTACGTTTATTTATTGTGCTAATGAAATTAAAAAAAAAAAATTATTAGTATCATATTTACTACGTTCTATTCTGTAACAAAGAGCAAAATGCTTAAAAGCCAATGAACCTATATTTGATTTATTTGTAACTAATATTCTACAGAATTATCTTCTTATTCTTAAAAACTAAAACTTCCAACAAATTTATTTCAGCTATTGAAGTGTTTTAACACTTTCTTTCAAACTGAGAATTTAGTGCGAAAGAAAAAGACAAAACAGTTCAATAGCTAAAATAGATTAGACGTTTTTATGAATAAGGTGGACGGACAATGACCAAGTACCTCTTTAAAGAATTGATTTGCAAAACGTTGAATTTCTAGAGCACCGTGAATGCTTCCTGCCATGATCATAATCACGTCACAGGAAATCCCAAAACAATCGATGTTTCCGGGCTGGGGTGCACCCGTTCTACACTCCGCTGGTATTCCCTTCGAGCCTTCATCACTGGGTTTCCCAAGAGTTGGAGGCTTCCCTTTTACCGGCTCTTTAACGCCTGTATACTTTTTAGTTACATTTAATGCGAGAGCTTGATAATATTATGTGTTTGTAACCGATTCCAGTCATATATCCCAGCTATTTATAATTCTTGGTTTACATCCAAAAAAATTTAAAAAGTGATTTGCTTTGCTTTCATGATTTTGTCGTTTACAGACACTGTTTGTGTTGTGTAAAATTTATCTTCGTGGATATTAAGAATGTTATATGATTTGATCTCCAAATTAAAATTGTCATAAAAATTATAGTTTATTTTTAATGGATGACAATGAAATAGTAACACTGCTCACGCTAACGGTATATACTGGTGGGGCACCATTGAGGGATGATAGGTGAGAATGTAAAGGCTAGTTTGTTAGCCTATCGTGATGAATACACCTGGAATTCAGCAGGATGGTTTTCAGAAGGGACCACGTGGAGGTTGACCTGACAGGGTGCATTGTTAAATAAGTAATTTATCTCTTTATAGTCAATCAATATTTTGAGAAAACACAACATCTTTTACTCAATACAGTAGTTATGTCTTTTCAGACAAAAATGTCAATATCGTCAATTTTGTAATTATCATTTGCCTAATTAAATGCAGTTTACTTAGAACAACAAATAGTTCTCAATGGATAATTTCGTTTTAATGTGTTTATAATAAACTCAAAAATGTCTTTCTGTCGTTTATCCTGTAGTATGGACACTATAATATAAAATACAAGTACAGTATTGAATGAGATACGTATCTATATATGTATATAATTTTATATTACCGTCATTTATAAAAGACGGAACGTTAAAAACGAAAAACAAAGATCGGCACATCCTGTTCGGCGCCTTCTCAATGAACTATTCAGCCCCCTCCGATACGGTTGACACTGGCATTCCAGTATTTGGGCCCTTTCTCACGTGCTTCCCCGAACCCATTCATTCCATTTACACCTCCACAACTTTACTTTGGCCGTCGCAGTGATCCATTGTTACGGGAGTTTCGACTGTATTCCTTGGTGTTAGGGCATTGATCTGCTGCCAGGTTGTCGTTAAGTATCGATCCCTTCTCTCGGGTATTGGTCGGTGTGTTCCGATAACAGCCGCTTCCATTAGCGTTATCCTCGCGTTATCGTGGCGCCGGCGCCGGCGCCGCCTGACATAGATACTGGCCAGTGTTAGTCTTTGTCTGCTCTGAGGTGATCAGAGCCCTTCTATTATTAGGAGCTGTTAATCATAACTTTAATAGACTCACTATGTGGACTAAAATTTAGAAAGTTCCCCTTCGTTCCTCTTTTTCGTTTGTCTGCTTTCAAAATTTTATTGTTGACAAATCTTGGTATTAGACATTGGATTCCTTTTACTCGTTTGTTTTGCGCTGGTCATTTATATTGTTATATGAAAGCTATATTTTGAAAATGAAACATTAATTATTTGAATTATTTTGAATGCTTGTCTCGAGCGAATCTGGCAAGAATTTGTTCAAAGTGAGCTACAGTTTTCTCGTGATTTTTACGCTATGATTTTCTATAAGACTGCTAAACGTCTTGAAATTTTGACTGTTACTTTCGCCAGTTAGACAATTATATGATTGTTCTCAAAGTCTGTACATTGGGTTTTGACCAAATGTTTCTAGATTGTGGTCCATTGATTTGTTATTCAATAGCTTTCTTATAAGTGTCCCGGCGCCTCACCTACCGACTCACTTTAATCTTTATGCATTTCAGTTGTGGCCGTATCATTTGATAGCCGCATTTCGGTAATGCAGGATTTATCAGTGACAAAATGCTTTTTAAGTGCTCGGCCTGCAGAGTCCGGTTCAGTACTTGAGACCCGGTCGCGTCTTTGATGCCTGTCGCCGTTGATTTATATTTTCATTGTATGTTCCTTACCAAATGACCTCTTG